AGTCATGAATAATTCCCTCACTACTGTTTTTAAGGTTTTTATCTAATAAAACTAACACATAATTCTTAAAAACTAATGTTACGACAAACTTGTGTTTAAAATGGATTCTAACTAATGTTGTTCAACTACAAACAAATACTGAACGTTCTGTTAAGTAAACTTTTACAAATATATCATTTTTAGAGTATCAATTTTGAAAATATTATTTTTTCTGTTCATTTTCAAAAATATTTTTATAGTCTCATAGGTACAATTAGTGTATATAAGCAAAATATAATTGAGTCGAGATTAACATATTGGATAAATCAAAAATTATCACGTCTATATAACTTCTTTTTTTTTTGTTAGTTTGCTCATAAGTTTTTCAGAATGATTTTTTTAATACGTCAAAATCATTAGTATATATACTATAAATAGTTCTAAATTCATGGTTGTCGATGACCTTAATTACAATTGTTTAAGTGTAAACCGATTTGAAAACTTGATAAAGAGGAAAAGATCAAATTTCAAATCATGGGTTGTGTACTTTACTCATGCCTTTTCCTTTCAACGATTACAATAACTTGAACTCAAATCTTCGAAAGTAGGGAGACCATGTTTCGATTTTGGTTTTTAATATCTAAAATCTTTATATAAATTTCCGGGATAATAATTATTTCATCAATGTTTTTTTTTTTGCTAAACAATATTTCATCAATGTTACCGTTTGGTACCCTGAAAATGATAATAATAGCAATTTAGTTGAAAAAAAAATATTTGAATATATATATGTTACCGAAAATACATTTTTCTTGTTCTTTTTGTAGTTTCTCTTTAATTAATCGAATGATTGGACACATTTTTTACTATGTCACAATGAGATTTGTTTCTCCTAATCATATAGACTCTTTGTTCTCTTTAAATTATAAATAATCGAGCAAGCTTTTCAGAAAGAAAAAGATTAGAGAAGTTTTGCAAAGCTTGTGAGTTCTTGAAATCACTTATTGACACTTTTAAAGTCCATTATTATGATTATGAGTTAATTACTAGTACTAAAGTAAATTATTAGATGAGATTGAATAATAATATTCCCAAATTTTAAAAGGTAAAGGTGTCATCAGGTGATTCCCGCTTCCAAAGAAGATTTACGTTAAATTCCAATCCCCAAGTCCTTTCCCTATTTCCAAGGTTTGCTTAATCTTTTTCTTTAATTTTTTTGAGTTTCCCCCTTTGGATTTTTTTTGTTTTAATTTCATTTACAAAAAACATTACTTGACAGGCAAATAAAACACAAGTGTTAACCATTGGTTACTAATCGGACCCAATGTTTCAATGGAATTCAGATTGTATTTACGATAGATGATCAGAGAAAGAAAGTGAAAGCTCCAATTAACATCGAGTTCGGTTTTCTGGACTGGTTTCTCAACACTGGCTTCTGTTAACCGGACTAAACGCCATTACTCACCCGCTGCATCAGACCGACCAGACCATACTGTGCGATTATCTTAACATTTTTCAAACCAGAAACAGAATTCCTCTAAACGACTCGGTTTCGGTTATCTAACATATAGAACCAGTACAATCCCATAATTCCTCGGCTTCCAATGGTTAACTCTTGAACCAAGCAAAATCTGATTCACTTGGGTGCGATTACATGTCAGAAACCGCCCAGAGGTAAGCTTCTATTTCAGTTGCTTTCTTCTCGTTTGTCTTCTTAAACATGTTCTTCTCATATCCTGAACCAATAATTACCCCAAATAATCAGATCAGAAAAATAAGCTCCTAATGGATTCTTTGTTATGCAAGGCAATACACATGTACCAGAAACAAAAACTTACCGGTACTGCGGTCAACTCCATCCCAATGTCTACCGGGTTTGATTCCGTACCGATTAGGTGCTGCCTCTAATCCTCTTGTTAACCAGCTATGCTTTGGGATACTTTGTGGTATAACAAATCCAGATTCTTTCATCCTGTCGTCGTCCCCTAGATCCAAGAGAGACGTCTCGTGCTGCTTTCTCTGCAATATAAAGAAGTCCGCAGATATGTTAGAATCATGTGTTTAGTACAAGGCGGTCTTGGTTATGTATCAGTTTGTAGTACGCTGAAGTATTTTCAAAACCTTGACTAAATGAGCCATTGGATCTCCCCATCTAACTCTTTCCTTCATCATTTTATCAAGCTCGGGATCATCCCTGAAACGGTAGAGACAAAAATTGTTTGAATAACAACCAAGCAGATAATATCTCAACCTCAAGCTCACGAAGAAGAATCGATGTAATACCTGGTCCGAGCAAATGGCTTCTCCTTCTCAAGCTCAAGTTCTTGTAGTCTAGCTTCAGCTTCACGCTTCTGAGCTAAACCTTTGCCCCATTCCAGTTTTATCTCCTACGAAAATTTGTCAATGACATTGGTAACTCTTCTTGTCTCAGAATCAGATTCACAATTCATATTTTTGGGAACATAGAGTTAAAGAACAAACAGTACCTTTGGTTTTTCCACTTTTTTTTGCTTCGATTTATCATGTTCCTCCTTTGATATACGCTTCCCTGCAATATCAATAAATAAGCATCTGGGAGTAAGTCGTGTGATCATGCATTATCACTGCAACTTATAATGACCAAGGGACCTATAGTCCTCACCTGTGCTCTTATCACGGTACACTGCTTCTGCATTCTGACCAGTTAACTCGGAATCCATGTTTTTAAACCTGCAGAAGAGTATAACTTGTCAAAAAGAGTGCAGCTTAAGTCGTGCAGTTGATAATCTTGAATTATAGTTACAGAAAACTGGCCACTCTATGAAGTCCCTACTTAAAGACATAGAAAAGAGAAAATCCTAATATAAAAAGAAATGAGAGACCTAAGAGAAACAGCAAAAGGTAATGAATGTGATCCCAGAAACCTAGGAAGAAGTAGTAAACATGAAACTTCAGAAAAATAAGCTACTACTCTTGCCAATGGTACTAAAACAAGCCTGGTGCCTATAACTATAACGCAGTAACACAGTCTTGTAAGGCTTAGCCTGCTTTGTAATATTACCTCAATCTTTCATCCTCCTTTTTCTTTCGATATTCACTTCCAATGTCTTTGCCACTAATTAAACCGGTCTTTCGTTGCTCCTTGCTTGTTTGGGGAGGTGGTGATTCTCTGCGCGGTTTCCGTGGGGGAGAAATATCAAAATTGGAACTCCTGGACACATTATCAGAAGAACGTTGACTATCTGTGGTTTTTCTTTGAGGCGATAGATCTGAGTTTCGAGAAACCTTCGCATTCATATTCCTGCGGGGTGGAGATAAATCAGCATTCGAGTCAGAAAATTTTGAAGGTTTTCTGCCTGGTTCAGGTGATGGAGAATGATATCTTCTTCTTCGTGGAGGAGAAAGATCATTGCTCCTCCTCTTTACATCTGAGACAGGCGAACCATGTAAATCCCTTTTCCTGCGAGGCGGAGATAAATCACCATCTAACTCAACAGAATCTGAACGCTTTCTGCTTGATTCAGGCGATGGTTGACGAACATTTCTCCTCCGAGGAGGAGATAAATCTTCACTCAACCTCTTGGGAGCTTTACCTTCAGGTTCTGGTGAAGGTGAGTCATTCCTGGCTTTTCTTTTACGAGGTGGAGACAAATCAGATTCCAAACCACTAGGCTCAGCCTGATTTCTGTTAGGTTTAGCCTCAGGAGAAGGCGTATAGTGACGTTTTCTTCGACGTGGTGGTGACATATCGGCTTCAGCTCTATCAGAAAAAGTACGTCTAGGCCCAGGCTCAGGAGAAGGTGAGTCATTACGAGTCCTTTGTCTACGTGGAGGAGAAATATAAGATCTTGTGTTCTCACGGTTTGTAGGTAATGTAACCCACCCACTCCCATCCTCAGCAATGGCATTCTGAGAACGCCTTGCCTTAATTTCCTCTAACCTCCTCATTCTCTTAACTTCAATGTCCTCATCCACCACAGGCCTCTCCTCTTGACGGACAAAAAATAAAAAAATTGTCAGTGTCAATAAGATCAAAGAAGTGAAATATTACAGATGCAACAAGTCTAATAAATAAGAAACCGTCAAGCCATTACCCGCTGAATCATCTTCGTTTTCTTCCTCCTCGGGAATAACCTGCTTTTGCCAAACTGGATCTTCATCCACAACCAAAACACCTTTTGCTTCAGGTTTAGATGG